CCTTTCTGCCTTTTAAAAACAAATTGTACATCCAAAAATGCTGTGCAGATTTGAAAAACACAAGCACATTAACGAAAAAGACAAACACAAAAGCCACAGCTGAATAGAGGCATAGTGAATATTAACAATGAAACATACCCGTTTAAAAAAGTAAGTCAAATGTTGTTTGCTAGCTAACTATGCTATCACAATTGAGCAATATCATTCAGTATCTTTATATTTTTATATTTATGTACCATCTAACATAAGGGGGTAGAGTGCTCCAGGGATGATGTTTTTCTGTAGGTCAAAGCAGACGTTAGCTTTGCCCTGGTTCCCTCGTCAAAACGTTTTGCTGTCTCATTTAGCCACTCGTTAGCAACTGCCTTTTTAAGACACAGAAAAGCTTTAAAATTCACAAGTGCGACTTCTACTGACATATTTTATGTCGTACAACAGAACATCAAAGTCTCTTCAGCTTGTGTTGACCACCGACCTTATTTCAGGCTAGTATGTAGTAATGTTAGCATTACCGCATTTAGCTAATGTCACTCAATCCCATGAATGTAACCTAAATTGTACCTGTGTTTGGAGACAGAGCAATACTGAGGTTGATTTATGGTCGGCTGCTCAACACTTAAACAACACTCGCGGGTCTATTTCAGTTTATGACAATTTGCGTTTGTCATTTTTACAGCGTGAGTAGAAACTAGTCTGGCTCATGGGATGTAGATTGTTGCCGCCTTTCTCAGATGGTAACACTCTTCCTCTGTGTTACCGTTTCCAAAATCCCCGTGGCTACATGGAACTACTCTCACATAGCCAGACCTGTCTCGCTCACCTCTCCACCAAAACAAGTTTCCCCTGACACTATTTTACAGAGCACCATCACTGCATCACTGCCTAAGACGACTGTGATTGGTTTAAAGAAATACAAACAATCCAGAGAGTTTTTTTTCCTTAGTGTGGAATTCAGCCAGATCTTTCTCCACAGTGCGAGACTGGTTATGTGAGACAAAGGAGAAACTGACCCTCATGTGTGCCACATACCGTGTATGAGACCAGACAATGTTGCTACGAGTCTGTGTATGGTTACAACATTGTTGTTTTGTGGTATGACATGATACATATCATTTTGAGGGGATGCTACAGCTGACACAGGCAGACGGTGACGTGGAATAATATGGTGTCTGCTGAGCTGTGTTGTCTAGCAGGTGCTGACAGGGTTGAGGAGGAAGAGGATACAAGATACATATTTAAAAGACAAAATATGAGTAAGTGTATTCATTAAAGGGATTACTTTGTTTTGTTTTATTTGCTCTAACACCGTGTCCTAACTGAATGCAACATGACTGAGCGTCACCTTGATGCTGTTGTTTTCTATCAGAATGTTCCGTGTTATTTCTGTCACTTGCTTTAAAAACTCCGCAATGAGCAAGAAACAGCTGATTCGTGAAGTTGAAATAAGGAGTTATCTACACAACACCTCCTTATTTAACTGCAGAAACCTAACTGCAGAGAGCTGGCAGCTGACTGGAGGGAGATCCTGAGGAAGTCTCTGATAAATGATCATCGTTAATAACAACCTGCGTAGTGTTGGCTATACTGTCTGTCATTTCCAGTAAATATCACAGTTTAAAACATGTATTCTCTGTTTAAAAGTATAAACATAAAAAGATAGATGATACTCGCCCATCTTTTAAGTGTTTATGTCTCCAGTCAAGCGCACAGGCGGCAGGTAGTCTACATGTTTTATACACGATGTAATACAGGTGCATAGCGATGCTCGCTTGCAGTTTAGACATATTGTAAAATTCATTTCTCATAAACAGATTTTTTAGAAAGTGTGTGCAGTGCACCAACCACACAATAATGGCAGAGGAGATGCACAACCAGGACACTGTCGTTTGTGCTTGGCATGAAAATATAAGACCCAGACAAATAGCTCTGCAAGACAATTTTAAAGTATTCCAAAAGTGATATTTAGAATACTTAGTTTGAGTATTCAGTTATTTTCTCTAACCACTTATCCTGTTGGTGGTCATTGCGTGGCTGGAGCCTATCCCAGCTGACACTGGGCGAGAGGCAGGGTACACCCTGGACAGGTTACCAGACCATCACAGGGCTGACACATAGAGACAGACAACCATTCACACTCACATTCACACCTATGGCCAATTTAGAGTCACCAATTAACCTGCATGTCTTTGGACTGTGGGAGGAAGCTGGAGTACCCCACCTGACATGGGGAGAACGTGCAAGCTCCACACAGAGGGGCCCCAGCTGGCTGGTGGGTTCGAACCTGGAATCCCCTTACTGTGAGGCAACAGTGCATCACAATGCCGCCTATAGTTCATATCTGTGGTTTGCAAAAACAAAACATACAATGCCAACATTTATTCTGACATGAAATGACCAAAAAAACCCACAAAATTACCTTAAAGAGACACAAAACTGCAAAAAGATGCATAACAACTAGCCTGGAAATCCAGACCCAAATCTAGAAAGATTTAGGGTCTGGCCATGAGTAATGAGAACGGCCCAACTCGAGGGGCGGCACCAAGCATGCATTTGTAAATATCACTGCACACAATTGGATAACACTACGACCAATCAGAACAATACACGGGGTGACGTATCCAGAGCGCTACCGGCGGAGCTAACTGGCAGATTACACTCTGCTAACCACTACCCACCCTGCCTCCCCCTAGTCCGAGTGATCATATTGCATATGTTACACGTTACATTTTAGAGCATGTATTTAATAATCTGTAGTGGAATAAGTTTTAAAAGTTGCCCTCCCAGCAGTGGGTGTTGATGACCTGATTTAAACATGAATGTCTGTTTTGACCAGAGTTATTCAGAGCCCTCGTTCTGCCCTCTCATGGTCCTTTGATACTGTTCAGATTCTCACACATTTCAAACAATGCCTTCAGTGTGGTGATAATTGACAAGAGATGACAGTTTCATGCTGAATAAATGAAGCGCACCAAACTGAGAATGCAGGGCGAGTTTTAGTTAGTTAGTATAATTTTCTATCAGATTTCTGTTTGGAAGAATCACAGGTTGTTCTGCTCTCATACGCACAGTCTAAAGATGTCCTCTTTGTAGAAACATTTCTGAATGGGACACTATCTCCTTGGCAGCTGCTCATGCCCGCTGATTTAAATACAAACCTCACTGTGGACACTGGGACAATGAAAGTCTGTCCTGGTGCTGAGAGACCAGAGCTGCCCTGACAGGCTCTACAGGCAGGAGATGAGTTATTGTCAGTGTGTATGTGTAAACTGCTGTGTAACAAATTGGATGTTTGGATTAGGCTTTTATATTTCCCATCATAATAAACACAGTAGTACATTTCTCTTGTGGAAACAAAGCATGTTTCAATGTGCAGTATGAGGAGTGTCTTTGTCGTCAGACGTTCAGTAACAGGGCTTTTGAATGTCAGTCTTGTTGGTGGACGTTCACTGAAACACTGGAGTTCCTGTTCATTAAAGTGTTAATCACCTAACATTGGCTCAAGATGCCTGAACTTCTCATAAATATAACTTCATCCTTACTTTCAACTAGAGTTCTCAATCTCAACCTGAGCCTGACGGGCAGGGAGGGAAGGAGAGGAGCAGCCAGGTTCCGTGTTGGACTCTGTTCTTCCTCCAGGCCAGAACAGGGAGCTTCTCTGGCAGGAAGTACAATGTGGAGAGCTGGTGATCCACCCAGCTGGTTCATTTTCCCCTGGAGACGTGCATGGCTAGTGCGGGAACTGCCCATTGGTCCGACATCCCATTGTTCCGACCATGTTAAACCCATTGTTCCAAAGTCCTGTTGTTCTGAAATCATCATGATGCCCCGTGGTTAAGGTCTGGTTAGGTTTAGGCACAAAAACCACTTGGTTCATCATGGTGTGGGTTAAAATGAAAAAGAAAGTGAAAACACATAAGCTGTGAGCCTGCTTTGCCTCAGGCCTTTCCCAGCTGACCCAGAGCTGGTCGCGGCGCACCATCAAGGTAGAAATACGCCCGCCGGGAGCCGTTCAGCACCGCGGACAGTTGGACTAATAGGATGTCGGACTAATGGGATGTCGGACCAATGACATGGACCCGCTAGTGCTGCCATTCAGCCGGTGTGTCCTGGGCTTTGGGAAACTGACAAGTGTTTTTTGCGGGGTTGGGATCAGTATTTTAAACCAGTGGTCCCCAACTGGTGGGTCGGGTCCAAAAATGGGTCCTGGGTCCCGTCCTGAATGGACCACAAGTGACTTGCAAACATGTCAAGTTTGAAAACACAGACTTTATTTTTAAGTAAAGTGAATTTTTGGCACAGAGCTTTTATTTTGAAGTGCAGTTTCCTGCTGTAAAGTGAGTGACTAATGGACAGCTACTTGACAGATACAGCGAACTAGCTTGACAACATGACCAATGAATTAACAACTAAGGAGAAATGTGGACCCTGTGGCTGGACCAGTTGGAAAATAATAATAATAAATAAACAATAATCTTGGATGGGCTGGGTTCACTCTTCAGCTCAGAGGGGTTGGTTCAGTTTGGGTTGTAATTATTTAAGCCTGTTGAGAACTACTAACCTCTCTATACCACTCTTTCTCTGATGAATGAGAGACATGTCCAGGTGTTGGACGAGGGTCTAGCACCCTGACATCCATACCAGAGACCAGAGTTTGCATCTCAGAGCAAAGATCAAGTTTGTTTTCCTTTTTCTTTCAGCCACACAAGCCATATACATTGGTGAATATTGGTTGGTAGGTCCACTGCTTCAGTTCAGACAGTAATACCTCAACAACTGTTGGATGAATTGCCATGAAATGTTGTATTCTTAGTCCACAGAGGATGAATTTCAATGACTAAGGGGTCATGTCCACCAATGCATTTTTCCAGGACCATGTATTTTTTTATGCTTTGCAATGGGAGCACCACATATTTACACTGAACAACTGCTGAACAATAACACTACAGAAACAGGTTAACATACATATATTAATACATGTTTCCTCTTATGAACCCACACAGGCTGGCGGGTCCGTCCTCTCCCTGCATGCTGCAGCCTTCTCCTCATCCAAAGTAAGAACCCTACCTTGTGAGACATGGTGTTTTCAGCTGGAAAAAAATTGTTGTCGTTAAGGTAAGCTAGGATATAATTTCATTTATCCTGAGTGAAATTGCTGTGCAGCAGTTGCAATACAAAGTTAAGAGTGCAACATACAATAAGCCTAAAATAACATAACAGCAGGTGCCAAATATAAGGATTAGATAATAGTAAGATGCAAATATGATGCAATTCAATATATACACTATAAACAGTGCCACAATCAGGTTGCCAGTATAGATGACAAATATTGTAGGGTTGCTTATGAACATGTTGTGTTGTTAGTCATGCCCTCTTCTGGATGAAATTAAATCCCTTTGATGATTCTCTGATTTTTCATCCAGCACCAGAATCAGGTCAAAAATGTTTTTGTGCAAGTGTTGATTTACGTCCAAGTATCTGCAAAACAGATCCCATCAGCCTCAGCTCTGCTCTCTGTTTTGTGCTAATTAGAAAATCTTAATATGCTAAATTAAAATGGAGAACATGGTGGACATTATATTACCTGCTAAGCATAGCATGTTAGCATTGTGTCACTGGGAGGATGTTAGGACGCTTTAGCATTTAGCTCAGTGTCTAGGGATATGTAGAACTGTCCAATATTAAAGGTCCAGTGTGTCGGATTTAGGAGGACATACTGGCAGAAATGGATTATAATATTATGAGTATGTTTTCTTCAATGTATAATCACCTGAAAATAAGAAAAAAAGAATAGTGTTTTGTTACCTTAGAATGAGTCATTTATATAAATATACTGCATTTATATAGCATTTTACTAGTCTCACTAGAAAACCACTCAGCCACTCAAAGTGCTTCACAACACACAAATGCCACAAAAGGTGACACCTGACCTCATCAGATAAATATACACATACACTCACAGATCGATGGCACAGCCGTTGGGAGCAATTTGGGGTTCATTATCTTGCTCAAGGACACTTCGACACGTAGACTGCAGGAGCCAGGGATCAAACCACCGACCCTCCAACTGGGAGACTAATCCAGTTTGTCAGTCAGTGTTTTGGTGAGTGGCATAGTCATTGTGCTTTTATCCTTCTATAATGATAATAATAATCCATTTTATTTTTGGGCGCATTTCAAAGCACTCAAGGACGCCATACGAGACAGTTAAAAAAACCACAAGCAGCAATCAATCCATAGATCATAAAGTCAAACAATCCAGTAATATACAGTAATAAGTTAATAAAATGATTAGACAAAAATCCTAATCATAAATATTAGGTATAAAATCATCATCATAAAGTCATAAGACCAAATATGCCAACTTGAAAAGATGTGTTTTCAGACAGGATTTGAAAGTGGAAAACGAGTCAATATTGCAAATGTTATTGGGGAGAGAGTTCCAGAGGCCTGGGGCAGAACGGCTGAAGGCTCTAGAACCCATAGTAGTCAAGTGAGCAGATGATGGTGTGAGTTAGATTGCAGAAGAGGATCTAAGAGTACTGGAGGGTGTGTAGATATGGAGTTCAGACAGGTGCACCTGACCATTACACCAACAGGAACTATAATGACATTATAGTTCCTGTTGGTGTAATGGTCAACAGGAACTATAATGACATTGTATTCATATAGATGTGCTTTAATATGGAGTTTGTCTCCCTTTTGAAGCTATAACAGCTTCCACTCTTCTTGGAACGCTTCCAACAAGATTTTGGAGTGTTTCTATGGGAATTTGTGCCCATTCATTCTGTAGAGCATCTGTCAGGCACTGATGTTGGACAAGAAGGCCTGGCTTGCAATCTCTGTTCCAGTTCATCTGAAAGGCGCTCGAAGGGGTTGAGGTCAGGGCTCTGTGCCATGCCAAACTCATCAAACCATGTCAAACCAAATCATGTTTGAATAGAAAAGGGCCTTCCCCAAACTGTTGCCACTAAGTTGGAAGTGTAGCATTGTCTCAAATGTCTTGGCATGCTGAAGCATTAAGATCGTCCTAAACCCTGAAAAACAGCCTCATACCATTATCCCTCCTCCACCAAACTTCACAGTTGGCACAATGCAGTAAGGCAGGTAACGTCCTCCCGGCATCCGCCAAACCCAGACTCACCCATCTGACTGCCAAAAGGAAAAGTGTGATTCGTCACTCCACAGAACACATTTCCATCGCTCCACAGTCCAGTGTCAGCGTGCTTTATACCACTCCAGCTGACACTTGGCGTTGGACTTGGTAATGTGAGGCTTGTATGCAACTGCTCCGCCGTGGAGCCCGTTCCACGAAGCTCCCTCCCATTTTTTTGTGCTCACATTAATGCCAGTGGAAGCTCAAAGCTCTTCAGTTATGTAATGTGATTTTACGTGGTCTTCTGCTTTGTGGCTGAGTTGCTGTTGTTCCTAAATGCTTCCACTTTCTAATAATATCACTGACAGTTGACCGTGGAATATCCAGCAGGGATGAAATTTCACGAACCATCTTATTGCAAAGGTGGCGTCCTACCACAGTATGATGTTTCTGAACTCTTCAGAACGCCCCATTTTGTATCACAAATGTTTGCAAATGGAGACTGCACAGTTAGGTCCTTGATTTCAAACACCTGTGGCAACGGGTCTGATTGAAACACTGGAATTCTTATTACTTATCTCAAGGTTTTACAGAGCTTTGCAACAAGATCTTAAAAACAAAGATTTAGAGAATAAAAAAGTGGGAAATTGAACTGAATATACTAATTAGTGAAAATGAATGGGATGAAACTTGTTTGTCTGGTCATAAATTAACAAATAGTCCAAATTGGAGGGAATTTCACTGGAAGATTAAAAACAGATATTTCAGAACTCCAATTATAACAGCAAAATATGGCCCCAGCAAGCAATAGTCATGATTTAAACGTATTGGCTGTATTTAACTCCGATTTAGTCTAGCTACATGTAACCCAAATCTAGCCGATTTAATTTTGAAATTGATTAAATGTAATTTTCGCCATTGCAGATGGCGTGCGGTATGATATTCAATCACGTATGGAGAGTCAACAGTAATTAAAATATGTTTATCTCCATTTTTTGGACATGGTCTCTACATAGCCATATAATTGATGACGTCTACACTTTGGCTAAGGCTAAACATCTACCAAATTTTCACTGACAGCCCAAATTCAGCCGTGATTTAGCCTAGACATCAGGTCTTCATGTAGACGGCTATTAGACGTTTTTTTAAACCATAAAAATGCTTGCTGGGGCGTTTCATCAGCACTATGCTGGAGGGGTTGTGGCCAACAAGGGGACCTCTCACATATAATGTGGGCCTGTCTAAATTTGCAGGAGTACTGGAACGATGTTAAAAGGATAATAGAGCAAATTTTGGATATAAAAATAAAACTTGACCCAAAGTTATTTATTTTGGGCATCCCTTCAGGATTCCAAATGGGGAAAAAGAAAACATATTTACTGAGGACCCTGCTTTTAATAGCCAAAAAACTATTACGGTATTATGGTTGCAGCCACAACCCCCCAACTTAAAACAATGGCAACAAAAGGTGAATGAGGTCCATATTATGGAAAAGATTACAGCTAAAATTCAGCTGAAAACTGACTTTTTATGGAAATATGGTCGCCTTGGATGTCAACGCAGAGCTCAAGATTCTCTCTAATTTGATGGCATTTGCCACCAAAACTTTGTTCACTGTCAATAATAGGAAAGAAAAGAAGGAAAAGGATGGAAGAGAAAGGAGAATATATATA